GTGCTTATCTCCATGAAGCTCTTCATGGGAAACAAAATGCACAACAACCTATTGCCAAAGGAAACCATGAATTAATTTGCTCTAATTCTCACTTCAGTGTTCAAGCTGGTACAGAGGGGAAGAAACCCTCTCCTTTGTATTTATTTCCTTTGTAAATATCTGTATATAATACACTACATGAGGGGCATCATTTTAAAAACTCTTCACAGTTTACGTTTCAGTCATTCATACTCCATGGGCTAGTCACACAATCACTGCCTCACTGTTTGTCTCTCCTCTCCTCTGGAGACCATCTCTGCGTCCCGGGCCAGGGATCCAATGAAGACCGCAGTGCACAGTCCCAACCACCACAGGGCCTCTATCTGCACAATGCCATCACACTTATGTGTCTTGGAGTTTTCCCAGGTACATGGTGGACCCTTCATATGCAGATTCAGAGATTCCTTATTTTAGCATTCTTTCATTTCATCTTTAATTTTGAAAATTGTGCTCCAATTATAAGAATGTTGGGTCTTGCTCGACCTTTCCATTCTTCTATCACTCCGTTTCCATGGCTCTGTCCATGACGATCCTGGTGTCTCTTGCTGTGCACCCCCTCCATCCACTCCTCCCTGGGTGCACAGTAATTAAGCCTCAGTTCTCTGAGCCCACCTTCTTCTCTGCTCTCTGGAGTTCACTTAGCTCTCCTCCAACATCCTCCTGCTCTCAGTCCAACTCCATGCCAAGCTGTTCTACTCTGATTGATATTCTCTCATACTGACAACTGTCAACTCAACCATATTTAAATCAGGGGGTACACTACATCACTGCTTTCCTCTCCTTAGGTTTTTGCAGAATTTTTCATTAACTGAAATATTTTGAGTTTTACTATGTACCTTCTCCTTTCAGTACCTGTTACGGATGGAACTGTGTCCCCAAAAGATACATGTGGTAAATCTCAACCTCCACATGTGGTTGAAGGAGATCTGTATGGTGGTTAGAACATATGGCTGCTAACCAAAAGGTCAGTGGTTCGAACCCACCAGAGGCTGCGTGGGAGGAAGACAAGGTGGTCTGCTTCTATAAATATTTGCAGCCTTAGAAACCCTATGTGGCAGTTACACCCTGTCCCATGGGGTCACTAAGAGTCAGAACTGACTCAAAAGCAGTTGGTTAAGTTTTTGGTTTCATATCTGTTTCTGTGGTTATAATACCATTTGAGAATAGATATTTTTGTTGTTACATTAGTGAGGCAGGATTAGTGTAGGCTGTGTGTTAGGCTGACTTCTTCTGAGTTATAAAAGAACAGATTAAGTAGAGATGGGGAAGATAAGGAACGCAGTTGTACACTGGTTAAAGCAATCAGCTGCTAACCAAAAGGTCAGCAGTTCAAGGCCACCAGCCATTCGACAAGAGAAAGATGAGGTAGTCTGCTTCTGTAAAAGATTTACAGCCTTGGAAACCCTATGGGACAGCTCTACCCTGTCCTAAAAGGTCACTGTGAGTCAGAATTGACTGCAACGGCAGTTTGGTTTTTGGTTGGGGGAAGATAGATGCCAAGACACATGAAATCTGCAAGAACAAAGAAACAAGCTATAAAGAGACAAAAACCACCTTCTTCAGAGCCAACAGAGAAAGAAAGCCCTCCCCTAGAGTTGGCGCCCTGCGTTTGCACTTGTAGCCTCCTTCCTCAATTGCAAGAAGACAATTCTGCTCGTAAAAGGCACCCACGTGTGGTGTTTCAGTTGCAGCAGCACGGGATAGCTTAGACAGGGCCCTAACACACACGTGGGGTTCCTTTTTCTGCTCACAAGCCTGTCAGTCTGCTCAGGGCTTAGCCAACTCCCGTTTGAAGACAGTATCCCTCTAGGCAGTAAGGCTCGCTGTCTGCAGCAGGCGGCAGCCCCAGGGCACTGAAGAGCACACTGCTGTAAGGCCAATTTCTTCTCCTCAGTTGTCACCAAGCCTGCAGCAGACACCTGTCCTTTACGAGGTTTCTCCCCTCCTCTGAGACAAGCAGCCCCTCAAGCTCTGCCCTGGGCTTCCCAGAAAGACCCCTATCTTCCACGGGTCCCTTTCCCTGTGTACCATGTCCCTGCACAGAAGCAGCCTTCCTTCTGCCCAGACCCTAGCTGCCTGCCAGCCTCACTAGGAGCCTGCATGCCCTCTTCTCCTCAGCACAATCCTAGCACTGGAGCTGACCATGCTTTCTGGGACGCTGTCTCACCCACAGTGAAATTCAGTTCACGGGACTTTCTCTCGCATTTATTCTGCAGCCAGGAGCTACCGTAGCAGGAAGCTGTGAGGAGATTCAGTGTAGGTGACCATCGGTATGCTAAGAGGACCAAGAACTCTAACGAGGGCTTTGAAAACACCAATATTACAATGTCCCTTCCATGCTGAGGATCCTTCAAAGCCTCCACTTGACAGGACACAGCTCCGGGTTCTAGACTAATCACCCCACAGCTTACCCCCAACTCCCTGTGCCAGCCAGCCGCACCAGTCCCCACAAGCACTCCCCATGCTGGCCAGCCACACCAGTCCCCACATGGACCCCGTGTTTTCCAGCCATGCTACTTGCTCCCCTCACTCTCTCCCTCCACTTTTCTCTCTTGGTCTAGCTTCCACACATCGTCTGGTTAAGTCATTGGCAACATCTAGAAACTCATAGGCAAACTCATAGACAAGACAAACCTCTGTGGCTGAAAGGAAGCAAATGACATTCCTGATTATTGATGGTGGTCAACTCAATGGCTCTTACTTCACCATCCTGGGGCACTTTGTAAATCTTTACGAATACGCTCAACTGCCTTTCATAAGAACTTGCCTTTTTCACTGTAAAGACTTATTTAAAAACACAGTATTTCAGTTTAGTTCAGAACTCATCCCATGACCCTCACCTTGGACATGTTTCCTCCTCTGGGTCTCCATCCACTGTGGTCTCCATCCACTGTGGTGGTTGCTGGGCGCTGTCAAGCTCTTTTTGACTCAGAGACCCCGTTTGACAGAGCAGAACTGCTCCAGAGAGTTTCAAAGGCTGTCATCTTCATGGAAGCAGGTCACCACGCCTTCTCTCCCACAGAGCTGGTGGGCTCGAACCATCAACCTTTTGATTAATAGCTGTGAGCTTACCTCTGTGCTACCACAGCTCCTCAGTTTTCTGTTGGCATGTGATGTCCATGTCAACTGCAGCACTTAGGCCAGTCACGTCACAGGGTGAGGCCTGTGTCACCACACCTTTCTGATCATCTCACAGTGTCCTCATGACAAAGCTGGCTCAACTTCGGGCTAGTAAAGGCTTCTTCAAGTGATGATTAGTGCTCGCCAATCCTTGTGTGTGATCAAAGTGATGGCACCACAGAACTCTTTAAAATATACTATTGTCATCTATTAAAATCGTATGTGTTATAAAGTTCGTTGTTGTTATGTGCCATTGAGTTGGACCTGACTCATAGTGACCCCTCCTTGGGTTTCCGAGGCAGTATCACAATGGAAGTAGATTGCCCAACCTTCCTTCCGAGAAGTGGCTGGTGGATTTGAACCCCCAGCCTTCTGGTTAGCAGTCAAGTGCCTTAGGCACTACGCTACCAGAGCTCCCTGTTATAAAGTATAAACTATAAAAATTAAAACTTATTGAGTCCATCAAGTCCTATTAATAATCAGAAACAAGGTACTTCAAACCATACTAAACATCTGTGATAGTAAAAGTATGGAGAATAAAATCTATGGACTGTCTTAACAAACATACATACACTGTTCCACTCAGAGATGAAATATACATACACATACACACACACACACACCCTTCTACCCAGTGATGAAATATACGTAGACACACTTCCACCCAGTGATGAAACATACATACACACACTGTTCCACCCAGTGATGAAATACACACACACATCCTTCCACCTGGTGATGAAATATATGTAGACACACTTCCACCCACTGATGAAACATACATACATACACAGTTCCACCCAGTGATGAAATACACATACACACACTGTTCCACCCAGAGATGAAATATACATATACACACTGTCCCACCCAGTGATGAAATATACACACACTCTCCCACCCAGTGATGAAATACACACACACACACATATACACTGTTCCACCCAGTGATGAAATACACACACACACACACACACACACTGTTCCACCCAGTGATGAAATATACGTAGACACACTTCCACCTAGTGATGAAATATACATACACACACTGTTCCATCCAGTGATGAAATACACATACACATACTGTTCCACCCAGAGATGAAACATACATGCACACGCTGTTCCACCCAGTGATGAAATATACATACACTGTTCCACCCAGTTATGAAATATACATACACACGGTTTCACCCAATGATGAAATATATACACATACTCTCCCCCACCCAGTGATGAAATATACATACACTGTTTCACCCAGTGATGAAATACACATACACACACTATTCCACCCAGAGATGAAATACACACACACACACTGTTCTACCCAGTGACAGAATATATGAAGTCTATTAACATATACACACTTCCACCATGTACTGTTTTATGAAATATACACACATTTACTCTCCTACCCAGCTATGAAATACATGTAGTGCATTAACACACATACATATTTTCTCCCATCCAGTTAATAAAAGCCTAAGCATGAAGTGGATCTCATGCTACATTAACTGTGACCCCAAATCACAAAGTAACAGCCAAGTTCTCTCATTTTACTGACCCCTAACATCTCAAGGGAAGGAGCTCTTCAGTAGGAAGTATGCTACATGAGAAGAGTATCCTGAAGGGACCTCAGTCAGCTATTTACCGTGTGTGTGTGTGTGTGGGGGGGTGTCATCTCCGAACTTTAAAACGTTCTTGAGGTGTCTACTTTTCTAGTGCAAAACATTTAGGGTTTGATTTAGTTTTTATTTGATCACCCCTCAAAGTACAAGCTTGCTGTCTGTAATTTACATGCACAGTAACTAGACATGTACTAAAGAAAAGCTGTCACTCACCCGGGTAAACGTCCCTTCAAAACTGTGAATATCCAGGTGGGGCTTCTGGGCATAAACGTGAGCACTGATAGAACAGAGGTCCTGAAACACAGAACAGCCACGTGAGTCCCACTGTCCCAATCAGACCACATCAGGCAGAACACAGAACACCTGTGAGTCCCACTGTCCCAATCAGACCACATCAGGCGGAACACAGAACACCCGTGAGTCCCGCGGTCCCAATCAGACCACATCAGGCGGAACACAGAACACCCATTGAGTCCTGCGGTCCCAATCAGACCACATCAGGC